CGTCGGCCCAACCGGATGTTCCGACATTGAAATACAAGCGAGCCGGTGCAACCGGGGGTTGCTAACCCCGGTGCGTTTACCCCTGCTCGTCCCTTTCGTGTTCGCGCGGACCGACGTGTCGGTCTCTACTTCGCAGGAAACAGGAAATCTTGCTTCTTGCTCTTCCATCGTCGTCTTCGATAATCCTAAACCTAACCCCTTGGGGCGATTTGCCGAAAACAACTGTTTCAAAGACGGTAGATCGCAAAATACAGTGATCCCTCGTTAATGGCTGGCAGATGAGAGGTGTAGTACTGTAGAAATTGTTATAAATCTTATCTCAGGCGTTGAAAATAAGTCAATACTAGATTAGTTACTATTGATCGCGGAGAACCTAAGATAACGATCGTTTTTTTCGTATATTTCCATCGTTATCTGATGGTTATATTATACACTTGCCCGATGGGCCTAAAGATTGATCAAAATCATTTCGATCATTTCGATAGAACGATTTTTTAATCTACGGGTACCCCGCGTTCTGTCCAAAGAACAAACACGCAACAAGACGACACACCAATCATAAAAGTAAAATTAACCTTAAGTACGTGTCTATGGGTTCGCCAGGCCTGTTTTAGAACGCTATTCCGTTCATCAGCAGGCCATCAAACGCTCGTGGGCGCCGAGTCCCACCTTCAGCGCACCTATTCATACCGTGTCAAAGTTCATCGGGCGTTAGGCGATCTCGTTGGTCTCCAGGGTGTTTTATCGCGTCGCTCGCAATAAGGTTTTCCATGCGCGAGAGTCTGAGACGTCGCGCGATATGGGTGGGCGTGCAAACGGCCATGGAAGGACGAAAACGGGATCGAACGCCCTGCAGGAGAGGGACGAACGATCGAGACGAAGTCGCGGACGGTGAAAAAGGACGAAGAAACCCGCGTAAGAGAGACCCCTACAGGGAATCCAATCGCAATAGAGTTAAGTGTTCGAGAGTAAAACCTAGCCAAGGCACGACCTCGATTACTCGCGGAGGATTTGTTACGGCCACCTTTCCCGTCGACGTTCCCCCCGCGCGTCGAAACCGTCCAGGAAGCCTTTCTTCGTTTTCGATTCTCCTGAAAGCCAACCGCCTGCGCCGACCGAGCCGAACACCGGAGGGACGGGACAGTCTTTGTCTCTTTCGGTCGTTCCGTTTTTTCAACCCCCCCTTTTTTAGCCCATCGAACGGGAAGGGATTTCCAATTGGCCATCGCGTTAGCCCAGCCACCGATTCTTGTTATCAAATTACGCCCCGTAGAACAGACTTTTTCTACGAGCTTCGTTATTGGGCAATTCGTCGACGTTTTGTTTCAAACGCTACAGCGTTAACATAGTTTTCAATGTACTTGATGCATTCGAAGCTCCATGTGTTTTTAAATTCGTAGTTATTAGCTCGGTGTTGCGTGCGACGATTGATTTGTGGCGACACTTACCGCACTCGCCGGCAGAGGGCTATGTTCTCTCACAAGCACTCGACACTATATGTACTATTTTTTGTATACATTCCTCGTGCGACCATTGAAGAATTTATGAAATATTATGGAAACAGAAATGGTACACGAATTATGGCAATATTTCATTAGACACTACTTTCTTCCAATGCTGTAGATATCAAGCTAACTCGTAAAATAATGCGAATGTAAAAGTAGAAAACGAGAGCAATCAAATAAAATAAACTGGTAAATTTCGTGTTCGTAACATGAATGAGAACTTATGTTGGTTGGTTCTATTTCTTGGCCAGTCCTGTATTCATACTGGACCAATGATGACCATAAGCTGACCATCGTTAACCATTTAATAACCCAATGCCCAATTAAATTCAGGACGACGTAGAAGATTCAAACCTTTTTATAGGGATCTCCTTAATAATTGGTACATGACTTTTTCAACATTTCGTTCCACCTTGAAAGAGTGTAGATATGATTTGCATGAGGTGCATAAAGACTAGAGAGAGCTGAAAACAGCTGTCTATGTAAAATTTCTGTATTCGTATAATAAATAAAAAAACATTTTGTATAGCCTGTTGCATACTCATAGTTTTCGATTTACTTTTGCCCAAGGAACTACCCAATTAATATTAAATATTTTGCAACGACCAGATACAAATTTAACTTCGATGGAGCAAAGATCACATTGGAGCAAGGGGGCAAACTGGTGCAAACCGATTTTATTGGTTATCTATTATTGGAATTGAACTTCTCTCAAGTTTGATTATCGGAAAGATGCACGAACAGATAAATTTCACCGGGGCCAATTAATTTACTTTCGTCGAGGTAAACAGGGGGCTCGATCAAAACTCTTATCATTATCTTCGGTGCAAACGAACGTTGCGTCACGACGATTCGCAGTGTCGTATCGTCGCCTTTCCGATGAGAGAAGTTCGCTTTAGATATTGGAATCCTAAAACGTAAGGCCGGTCGGCGGCGCAACTGGGAACACGTTTTCCTAGTTGCTCCTTGTTTCCTCGTGAAAATCCTCGAGGCCGTTACGCCGGTAACGATGAGCCCAGTACGACGGGCTGTTACCACCACGTGCTGCCATAATATCAGGCAAAAGTTTGCCTGGCCAGCGGGAGAAAATAATTTGATACGTCTCGCCGTTGGAACTTGAACGAGGCTGGAACGATCGAGCAATTCCTGACTCTACGGAAAACAATTACGATAACGTGGTTCCTACCAATTACCCTTTAGAACAGTCTTGCTCGACCTATAGGTCACGACCCATCCATCGATAATTTCAAACGGAACCATTGAAAATGTAAATTCTATTTAAATTTTTGTAACATAAGTATCTTTCAATTTCTAGACAAGCTCGGTCAGAGTTTACAGGCTCAAGAACGATACAGTAAATCACTCGATACTTTTCTAGATGCTAAGAAAATCTCTGAGACTCTAACTTCCGAGCCTGTTAAAATTTAAGCACAGTTTTTACAGAAAGTAACAGAATTTCTGTAAAATTACTGTTCCAAAACCACTTTTGCGCGAGCGAAGACAACATTAATCATCGTATAGTCAACTTTAAACATTTAAGTTCAGCATTTTCAATCTCCAGAAATAAAAGGAGCGAAAGGTCTGCTCGTAACACAGTTCCCGACGACGCGGAGGATGCAGCCGTCGTGAAAGGGCGCAGAAGTGGATAAATCTTTTTGTTCGCCCGTCGACAAGACCGGCACGAGTGACGTAATATCATTTAGAATTTATATTATGGAGTTCATCCTTTGGCCTCTTCAGTGCTTCCGTCGTTTCCCGCGTCGTCCACCTGCACCCTCTGTGCCTTGCGAGCTGATGTCAGAGAAAGCAAGGGTGGAACGGGCGCGAAATTACGTTAAACCTTCGCGAGAGAGCGTACTCCATTACGCGGAAACTGAAAATATGGAACATCCTTCTCGTCTGGTAGGAAATATTAAAATAAAAATTCCTGGTTTCTTAGCGAATTCCGCCCCACGCGATGAAAAATTGGTAGAAACCGACGTGTACTTCGAAACCGATATAAAATGATTCTTCAAAGGTTCTTTCTTTACCTATGTTTACAAACACACTGTTTGCTAGAAACCACTGATTGAAAGTTTTGAGCACCCTTCGATATTCAAAATAAATAAATCCCTTATCGTATACGTGCAAACGTTTTCAATTGAGTACAATTTTGTATCTCAGAGCCGATGTAACTCCATTTTACCATTTGTCAGAAGAGCAGAAGAACTGCAGCAAACATACTGTTTTCTATAAAACTGATTAACTAGAAGTTTGAAAATTAATAAAATACTACCACAATCTATATGCAGCTATTACAAAACATATGCAACGAACAATGAGTAACTTTTTTTTTTGTTAAGAAGTATATACTTGAGAGTACAAATTACCTAAATCCACTTTTTTTTAAGTGACTTAAGACAAAACAGGAATAATTTTAGTTTAAAAATATTGTTGTATTCTTTTGATATCCACTGCAAAAGCTTCATTAAGTCGTATTTAAAAATATTCCAATCAATCGTTTAAAAATTTATTTTAAAAAACTGAAATAAATGAGGGATTAATGGCATCGTTTCTATCATTCTGATATGCCACGAAAAAAATAGTAGAATAAATTCCAGGTACAGAACTTACGATGATAATTCTACTGTATTTGGGCATAGATAGTGCATCACTTCTAATTATGGTTCAAGTTTCGATGTTATCAGGATATTTGAATCGTGCACTCGTCGAACATGATACAATTTCAGTACAACGGATTGCGTAAACATATGAAGAGTAATGTTTTCCTTGTATTATCTGGTACGTAGAATCTTATAATATCGTACCCAAATTTACCACATTCGATGCCTGTCTATTTAAATTACCGAATTAATCTTATCGTATAATAACCTGTAAAAAGGGGGTATATATACAACTTGCAGACCAGCGGTTAACATTCGATCCAGTTCGTTCACAGAAGCAAGATGGTAAGCAACAAAAACTAATTATATTACTTGGTGATTGTAAAATCCTTCGATCATTCTAAAAGTATAAGACTATGCACGCTGTAATACGGTAACACAATAATCGATATTTCCCTTTCAATATCAAGAAAGTAGCCATAATAGACTAATAACAATACATTAAGAAAATTACTCCTCGATGTATTCGAGCAGCATACCAAATTGAACTAAACGCGTTAAACTATAGTCGAATCGAAATATTGTTTTCATTTATTTCTCGAAAGTCTTTTTACTTTGAATATAAAAACACGCGAAAAGATCTCGTAAAATCCAAGTAGCCAAAGGAGAATCAAACAGATTCCCGAAACTCTTCGATATCCGCAAGCTTCACTTTCGTCCTGAATAAATCAACTATCGAAACACGCGTCCCGAACTTTTCCTCGAGTATCAAATATTCATTACTGGTTTCGATTCGTCGCGACGGATCAAAGCGAGAAAATTACGTCCGAGTATAGGGTTCACCGTCCCCTAACGCGGGTTCCACGACCTTAAGTACCACTCACGTTCGCAGATGAAGTTCGCTTTGGCAGTTTTGGCCGTCCTGGCCGTGTCCAGTCCGCTGGAGGCGTACAAGGTCCCACGAGTAGGGACGGGTGCTCTGGCCGACGAAATCCAGGACTTCGCGGACATATTGCCCATGAACGAAATGGTGAAAATCGTTTTGCAATATCTTTCCGACGACGCTGAATTCCAACAGCTGGTCGGCTACTTGCAATCGAACGAATTCAAGAACCTGATCAAAGGCGTCGAAGGCCTTCCTGAATTCATCGACTTGTTGAATTATATGCAAAAGTCTGGTTTGGACATCTACTACTTGATAAACAAGGCAAACGCGTTCATCGGCCTTCCAAAACTCCAGGCTCCTCAAACGTTCGGGATCTACAAGATTAGCGGTGGAATTCGTGGCTTCCTGGACGATATCGAGGCCATCTTCCCCGCGCAGAGTGTGAAGGATCTGTTCGCGTACAAAATGGCCAATTCTAAGGTGTTTATCGAATTCATGGCTCGCCTAAGATCACCTGCTACCCAGAAGATCGCCGATTACATCGTCGCCAATCCGAACTTGACTAATCTCCTGGCCAAGGCCGAACAGGCTGGGATTAAGATGGAAGACGTCAAAGAGTTCTTAGAGAAGTTCCTTGGCATCAAGCTCCCCGTTGTTTAAAAACACTTTCGAAACGATAACGATGACTGTACATAATATAACATTGATCATTTTCTCTAATAAAAGCGTAAATTATTGAAATCTGTTAATCGATGTTCCCCGATCCCATCAATCTCTGATTCTTGCATCGTGAGTTTAGATAAATTGTCAAAAATATTGGTCTGTTGCTTGTCTCAAATATTAGGTCAAATGTAACGACGGCCAATAATGTGCTCGTGAATATTTATGAAGCTTAAAATGTAGTTGCAGCAGTTTGTAATAGTTTCACTAATAATTAATTTGAAAAGAGGGTTGATTTTCAAATATTCTATTATTCTGATAGATTTAAATGTTGTCTGCCTTGGAAACTTCGTTAAATGGCAAGTTCGAAAAAGTTTTACCGTTTGAAATTCGGTTGTCTACTTTAGGCGTGTATCGTCGACGTCGAAATCGTTTGCAGGAGACATTTCATTGGCAGATCTATCCAGTTACTGAAACTTTCATGTATTAATCTCGGGAATCCGCCATTTCGCTCCGCCGCACAGTAGACCAGAATTAATTTGTAACGCGATAAAAATAATTGACTGATTTCAGCGAGAACCACTCGTCAGAGAATATTCAATAAGTAGTTTCATTAATATCTCTGTATGACGAGATTATTTTCACATGTCTACCTCTGCAACTGTCACAGCAATATATTAATAAATGAAATTATGTCAATTATAATAACGCTATAAATATTTTAGACATTCGTATGAACAGTGTCAAGTAATCCTTTAGTCATTGATAAAGGCAGACATTAATCATCAGAGATCTACTTCTTATTTTTCAACAATACATCTACCTCGCAGATTGTCTCGACTTAATTTTAAGCTATTGCCAACCTAAACGGGAGCTATACACATTAAAATTCGAATTGTTCTGTCGACGATTCACGTATTTAATCTAATAAGTTTATTATACTATTTTATAGACCTTGATTTCTTATATTGATACGATTAAAATAGTCAATTTATCGTTTGTAAATGGAACTACCATTCTGTAATTGAATCAATATAACGTGTGGTTATATGTAGATTCTGTATCTATTTTATATTCGTTCCTATTCCTTTGCTCATTACACATTCCTCGACAAACTAAAAGTTATTTAAATATGTTTCGTAAATGAAAACGATATTAAATGCAAATAACGGTTCCCAGACACATCTGCCATAGTTAATAACAAAAATACACGAATAACAAATAAGACTAAATACTTTGAAACGTACCAGAATAAAAAAATGATTTAGAAGCGTCATTTCATAGCTAAAAAAAGCAGGCACATCTAAAACTGCGTAAAATGAGTCGGTTATTTGGTTGTTAATCACCACTATTGTTTCACGACAAGTTGATGGTAAGTAAAACTGCAATAATAATCTACTTTGGGATCTAGTTATAGGATTGTGTGGCGTTGCCTCCCATGCTCGCCACCAGAGGGGTCGCGCTCTCACAAGCGCTCGACCGACCCCTCGGTTGCTGTATATACATTATCTATCATCTGTCATACATATCTTCTTTCCTTTTCTGTCCTACGAATTTCCTGAGATTCTAACCTCAGCCAGCAGCGCCACAATTATATCAAATGGTAAAACGTATAAATTATTCAAAGCACTCAAAACAAGAACTATCCATGGTTCATTAGTAACGAAACTATGAAAAATGATTTACATATGAAGTACGACCAGGGAGATTACGTTTATCAGTAAATTATGTAATCGTGGATTTTACATCTTCTTAACAAAGAATCTTGGCGACGATAAAGACTGGTAAATTTTCCTACTTGGGTAAATCGGTAATCCAACTTCACTTATCGAAGATAATTTCGGTCTCGTATAAGAGGAGGAATTTCAAAAGATGGGGTGGGGTTAATTAGGCGACTATAAGAGGGAAATTTTCACATCTCATAAACAGAATCTACTGTATATAAGCAGCTGACAGGCCAGTGATAAGCATTCAGTCGATTTTGACCGCAGTGACAGCACGGTAAGTTAAAAAAGATAATATACATATGTATATGTATACGTATCAAGTCTTGAGCACTTGTGAAACATCGTTATTTGAAATTTTAAATTACACGTTATCTTATTTCACGGCCGTTCCATTTGTTTCAATTATAATCACAGTATCTCATTTAATCAAATAATTTTGAAAACAATAAATTTTTTCGTAGTCGAGTTTCTATATGCTATTCAAATTATGAAATTATAATGAACATATTTTGCTGGTATATTGCATATTCCTTGTGCATCGTACGTAATTATAGTATAATCTGATTACGTTTGTCACGATTACTTCTGCGAAGGTAGTATATTATAATTAGAGAGTAACTATAACGTAATTACAGCGCAATTATTTTCTAAAAGTTCTCGTGGCAAACGCAAGCAAATTAGATTTCGCCCAACGCTGATTCCATAGCTGAAAATAATATGAAATATACACTTCACGAATAAATAATTAATTTTCTATTCTCAAACCAGGCATGAAACTTTAAATACGTGGAAATATAATTCGTTTTGCAAACGATCACTGGCATTCTAAAGTCAATTAAAAATGCCTGTCGCTTCAAATAACACAATTTATCTCGATCGTCCGCCATTCCAAATACATCGATTTTCTAATTATTTCCCAGCAAGATTCCCATTCGTCTCCGATTAAATAATTCAAACTACCGATACGCGCATTCCAAACAGTTCCAGTATCAAATATTTACGACTGGCTCGATTCACCGCGAGACGGATCAAAGCGTGAAAATTAAGTCCGAGTCGCGTTTCGTCATCCCCCAACGCACGTTCCCCGATCTAAGCACCACTCACGATCGCAGATGAAGTTCGCTTTGGCAGTTTTGGCCGTCCTGGCCGTGTCCAGTCCGCTGGAGGCGTACAAGGTCCCACGAGTAGGGACGGGTGCCCTCGCCGACGAACTTCAGGACTTCGTGGGCATATTGCCCTTGGAGCATATTGTGTCGATCGTTTTTGAGTATCTCGCCGAAGACGCTGAATTCCAGACGTTCGTCGAGTACATGCGCTCCACCGAATTCAGAACCTTGATTCTGGACATCGAGGGCATCCCCGAGGTGATCGACCTGCTGAACTACATGCAGAGGGCTGGCTTCGATATCTACAAGCTGGTGAACAAGGGAAACAAATTCCTGGGCCTTCCGTACCTCGAGCCGCCCCACGTGTTCATGATTTACAGGACCACCGGTGGAATCCGCGGCCTCCTCAACGAAATCGAGGCTGTCTACCCCAAACAGAAGGTGAAGGATCTCTACGCGTACAAGGTGGCCCATTCCAAGCTGTTCGCCGAGTTCGCGGCTCGCCTGCAGGACCCCTTAATGCAGAACATCGCCAACGACATCCTCGCCAATCCGAACTGGAACGGTTTCCTGAACAAAGTTACGAAAGCTGGCGTTAAGATCGAAGACGCCAAGGAATTCCTCGAGAGATTCTTCGGCATCAAGATCCCTACCGCCTTTTAAACGGACTATCGAAGAAGACTGATTGCTGTGAAAAGTGGAACATTGAAATCTCTGCGCGATAAACGTGCAATTTTGTAGTCCGTATATCGGAGAAACGAAAGTGAATTTTTATTGGTTATCGGAGGATCGTCGTTGTGGCGTTTTTTTTAAATAGAAAATGATGTTTTATGAAGAGGGGGGTACGTTTACAACAAGACTTGATAAAGAAGCCTTAGTTTTCTAACGAATTTGGGACCAAATGTTGTACTTTTGTTGCTCCGATATCGAATACTTCATTTGTATCTTGATATCACTTATGATGAAAATTGAATAAATGGAATCTTTTTAGCATTTTTCAAATCCGTCAATCAATATTGTTCGTTCCACAAACATGATAATACATCAGCTTTCCTATTGCGTCGATTTAAGTCCAGCATGATTCGATCTGTTTCACTGTACCGCTAGGCTACTCGAAATATTCAAGAATATTAGGTAGATTCGTGAAAACAAAATTATATATTCTTTGTACTGAGCCTTTTTCGGGTATATAGAAATTAAAAAATATTGTTTCCTTGGATTGCCATGATTACGTTACTGATACCATCAAAAATAAAAAAACACACGGTGTAAGAAAGAATATATTATACTTTCCGAGTAGATAAACCTACATTTTTCCTTCTTCTTCGAAAAAAGATATGTAGAATTAAATTAAATAATATAAAATTATAAAATAATGAAATATATGCATAGAGTGGTCGTAATTGGATAGTTACTATCAACAACGTGAACGTGGTCGTAGTCTATTTGAAAAAAATTAGGTAATGTGACGATCACCAAAAGACAAAACCGTGTCAAATAGCAGTTATCAAAATTTTCCAATCGATTAAAATTAAAATTTTTTTATATTACGAAGGAATTACAAAACGGCTTACATTACTTCCATAACGATTGACTTATACTTGATAAGATTCGAATTATAAATTAAGAAATATAAGATTAAGCTCGTACCTCAATCATCTTCAGAGTGTCATACCATTTTTTGACATTAAAATTTCCTCATTCAAAAATCAGGTTTACAATTTATAATTAAATTATAAGTCTCAATATCAATTTCATTTTGTTCTACGCATGATTTTTATAGTATATACCATATATTGTTTACCTGAAAGCACTGTTTTCTAACTCGACTGTAAAAATATTGTATTTTATTTTGTGCACTAACGAGTTCTTACCCGTATAATAAATAAATAAATAAATAAATAATGTTGTACCTCATCTATGTATGTATAGTATGTATACAGGATGTTCGGCCACCCCAAAAATTGTAATGGGAGGTTCTAGAGGCTAAAATAAGACGAAAATCAGGAATATCAATTTGATGATTGGGGCTTCGTTAAAAAGTTATTACAAAATTTCAAATCATTCTGAAAAAATTATTTTCGGTTGCGGGGGTCCATTACAATCATTTTTGGTCATTAGACATACTCCCGAATTCCTACGCACTTTCGAGAAAAAAATTCCTCACCGAAAATATAATTTCTAGCCAGAAATGTTTGCCCGAAACATGCAAGTCTTTAAAACATCATAACTCCTGAACGGATTGGACGATTTTAATGTTTCAAATTGCAAACGACGCGTATTTTAGTGAAGAATATGTAGAAATTCCAAAAATAATCAAAAAGTTGATCCTTCACACCGCAAAATGAGAAAAACTCCATAAAAATGGTCCAATTTTCAAACAGCCATAATTCCTATAATAGTGAATATATTTCATTGAAATTTTGGAGGATACTAGAGTTCACGGATACCTACAAAAAAATATTAAACAACTTTTCTGTACAGCGCCAACTAAATTTATTAAAAATGAAAAACTAATTTTTAAGAAAAAACGACAGGGGGGTAAATTTTTCGGCGAAAAAAAAAATTCAAATCGTTCTGGAAAAATTATTTTTGGTTACGGGGGTCAATTACAATCATTTTTCGTGAATAAACATACCCTCGAAATACTGCGCATTTTCGAGAAAAAAATTCAGTACAGGCGGAACTTTAAACGTTAATAACTTTTTAACGAAGCCTCCATCGACAAATTGGTGTTCTTGATTTTCGTCCTATTTTGGCCTCTAGAATCTCCTATTACAATTTTTCTCAAGGGTGGTCGAACACCCTGTATAGATGTTGAACTTGTTCTTTTACCAGCTATAACGCTATGAAATTTAAATAAAGTGCCATTTAAAAGGAGATGTTTTCGATTTACTATTAAAAAAATTCGTTTAGAAACCTTTTTTACATTGCAATTTCTAGCTCACTGAATACTAGTTAACTATTGTTGGAAATGTCTGAAAAATCGTACGAATTCTAGTGCCCATTACAGGTTAGACTTTTCTTATGAACTTGAAATTTCATTCCTATTTTATATTTTTTTGGAAGATTAACTATTTAAAAAAAATATACCTAATGCATGATTCTGAAATTCGACAAAATAACAAATTGATAAAATATTTTCGAGAGCTTAACAGATAGCCGAGTCACGCAAGATTTTACCTTTGAACGCGTTTTGTCACGAAATCATGATTTTTGAACCGATGCAGCGGTGGTCAAAATTTTTCCGAAATTACTTTATCAAGTCAAACCTAATGTGCTTAAACGCCCCCTAAATTTTGTTGTAAAAATGTTGAACAGTAAATCCTGCTAAAATACTAATAGGGATTATGTAAGAAATACACGACGTTAGGGTGTACAGATGTTTCTATGCTTTCAAACGTAAGAGTAAATAAATTGCTCTCCGATCAGCGATAGAGAGGGAAACAACAAAATTAAAGTGCTTGATAAACTGATTCGAAAATGTTTGCCAGACACTGTGGCTCGTATCAAGTAGATTAAAGTCCGACGGTCGATGATTTGTATTTGAATATTATTCTAAATGTATTGTAATATTGTCGATATATTATTGCCTACTTTTACTGCATCTTCCTAACATTTGGTACTTCAACATTGTGATTGATTTAACTCAGAGAAACTTGATCATAAACAAAACTTCGTTTCCTACAAAAATGTCGCGATATTTATTGTAAAAATTTCAAAAACGTTGTTGGTCATTGATAATAGCCATTGACGAACTTATTACTGATCAATCTGCAATCTGCTCAAGTGTCTATGCACAGGTGTGCTGTCAAATCTTATCTTCATCTTGGGTAGATAAATAACATCAGCTGCTTCGTATTCCACGCGATATCGTTTATATAAAACGGGCAAGTGCAATTCTGGCCACAGCAGTATCATTTGCACGAGCTACCACGGTAAGTTTCTGAATAAACATTTGAAATTATTTTATTCTTACTTCTAATAATTGCTTACTGACTGATTCGTGTTTAACATTGTCTCGAGAATTTCTCTCGACACCAGTTTGAGTTTTGGTATCAAATACTGGAAACTCGTTGAGGGACTTGTTCATTTAATTTTCTTTGATTAAAAATCATCAAAAATATCTGTGCAAAGCAGTTTACTTTAAACGTGTTTTTCTCAAGACCTTATTTTCTTTACTGGCTGATATGATGTCTCAAGATCTAATAGGCAATGCCTTTATCGTCAGACATTTTTCTAAATATTGATTTTTACTATATTATTAATATATTGAAGATGAAAAACGATGTAAAATTACTTAAATTCACAGTGTCCTACGTTTGAATCTCAATTTTCTCAAAGTATAGCTCCAAGGCTGTCGATTCGTTTGCAATCTTAGTTCACAAAGATTCCTTTCAGATGAAATTCTGCCTGGTAACGTTGACAGCACTGGTTGCGTTCGCAACTGTCAACTGTCACTATCTTCCAACCTTCGGCGAGGGACCCCTCTACGAGGACATCCAGTATTTCATGGACATGATCCCCATGAAGGATGTGATGGCCGTCACTGTTGAATACGCAGCCCTGGACACCGAGTTCCAGGAGCTTCTGGGGTATTTCGAGACGGACGAATTCCACCAGCTGTTGGAAGAGGTTGAAAACATTCCTGAGTTCCGTGTGTTCGCGAACTATCTGCAGACCAACGGCGTGTACATATACAACGTCCTGAACAAACTGAACCAGCGAGTGGGCATTCCTCCGTTCCAACCGATTCTGATGGCGACCAAGAAGATCACCGGTGGATTGAAGGGTTACTTCGAAGACGTTAAATCGTACGTCGACTACGATCTCTTCATTCATGGCTACGTGTACAAGATGAGAAACTCCGAGGCCTTCCGCCATTTCGTGGCGCACTTGAAATCCCCCAATCATCAGAAGTTCATCGACACGTTGTACCAGAATGAACTTTACCTGAACTTCCGTCACTCGATCACCAACAAGGGACTCGACGTAGCCCTGGTCGAGGACATCATCTTCACCGTTCTGGGCATTGAATTCCCGGATTTAAGCAGCACCGTGACGATGTACGACTCGGAACTGTCCAAGGATATCAAAGATTTCGTGGCCCTCATCGACAAAGAGAAGATTGTGAAGATAGTTCTCAGCTACCTGGACGACGATGAGGTACAGAAGGCGATGACGTACATGTACGGCGAGGACTTCCACGAGTTGACGCGCACGGTCGAAGGCCTGAAGGAGTACCAGGACCTGGTATTGTACCTGCACGACGCTGGCCTGAACATCTTCGGCTTCCTGCAAAAGGTACACAATCTGTTCGGTATGGAGGATTACGTGCCACCCAAGGTAGGTAACTTCGCCTTCTTCCAAAACGTTTTCGTGAACCGTGGTGGAGTGAAGAAAATGGTCGACGACGTCATCGACGCGTTGCCGTTGGACAAATTCAAGCAACTGTACCAAGTGAAGATGAAGAATTCGCCAGCTTTCAGAGACTTGATCATGAAGCTCAGGTCTGAGGATCTCAAGGAGATCGTTGCCACGATTTACAAATCGCCGGTCTTTCTAGAGATGAGACAGAAGGCTATCGATGCTGGCTTGGACCTGGAACCGGTCAGAGTGTTCTTCAAGAAGGTGTTCGACTTCGAGTTCCCCAAAGTGCCGGATTTCAGCAAAACCATGACGATGTACGACACGGAACTGTCCAAGGATATCAAAGATTTCGTGGCCCTCATCGACAAAGAGAAGATTGTGAAGATAGTTCTCAGCTACCTGGACGACGATGAGGTACAGAAGGCGATGACGTACATGTACGGCGAGGACTTCCACGAGTTGACGCGCACGGTCGAAGGCCTGAAGGAGTACCAGGACCTGGTATTGTACCTGCACGACGCTGGCCTGAACATCTTCGGCTTCCTGCAGAAGGTACACAATCTGTTCGGTATGGAGGATTACGTGCCACCCAAGGTAGGTAACTTCGCCTTCTTCGAAAACGTTTTCGTGAACCGTGGTGGAGTGAAGAAAATGGTCGACGACGTCATCGACGCGTTGCCGTTGGACAAATTCAAGCAACTGTACCAAGTGAAGATGAAGAATTCGCCAGCTTTCAGAGACTTGATCATGAAGCTCAGGTCTGAGGATCTCAAGGAGATCGTTGCCACGATTTACAAATCGCCGGTCTTTCTAGAGATGAGACAGAAGGCTATCGATGCTGGCTTGGACCTGGAACCGGTCAGAGTGTTCTTCAAGAAGGTGTTCGACTTCGAGTTCCCCAAAGTGCCGGATTTCAGCAAAACCATGACGATGTACGACACGGAACTGTCCAAGGATATCAAAGATTTCGTGGCCCTCATCGACAAAGAGAAGATTGTGAAGATAGTTCTCAGCTACCTGGACGACGATGAGGTACAGAAGGCGATGACGTACATGTACGGCGAGGACTTCCACGAGTTGACGCGCACGGTCGAAGGCCTGAAGGAGTACCAGGACCTGGTATTGTACCTGCACGACGCTGGCCTGAACATCTTCGGCTTCCTGCAAAAGGTACACAATCTGTTCGGTATGGAGGATTACGTGCCACCCAAGGTAGGTAACTTCGCCTTCTTCCAAAACGTTTTCGTGAACCGTGGTGGAGTGAAGAAAATGGTCGACGACGTCATCGACGCGTTGCCGTTGGACAAATTCAAGCAACTGTACCAAGTGAAGATGAAGAATTCGCCAGCTTTCAGAGACTTGATCATGAAGCTCAGGTCTGAGGATCTCAAGGAGATCGTTGCCACGATTTACAAATCGCCGGTCTTTCTAGAGATGAGACAGAAGGCTATCGATGCTGGCTTGGACCTGGAACCGGTCAGAGTGTTCTTCAAGAAGGTGTTCGACTTCGAGTTCCCCCAAGTGCCGGATTTCAGCAAAACCATGACGATGTACGACACGGAACTGTCCAAGGATATCAAAGATTTCGTGGCCCTCATCGACAAAGAGAAGATTGTGAAGATAGTTCTCAGCTACCTGGACGACGATGAGGTACAGAAGGCGATGACGTACATGTACGGCGAGGACTTCCACGAGTTGACGCGCACGGTCGAAGGCCTGAAGGAGTACCAGGACCTGGTATTGTACCTGCACAACGCTGGCCTGAATATCTTCGGCTTCCTGCAGAAGGTACACAATCTGTTCGGTATGGAGGATTACGTGCCACCCAAGGTAGGTAACTTCGCCTTCTTCCAAAACGTTTTCGTGAACCGTGGTGGAGTGAAGAAAATGGTCGACGACGTCATCGACGCGTTGCCGTTGGACAAATTCAAACAACTGTACCAAGTGAAGATGAAGAATTCGCCAGCTTTCAGAGACTTGATCATGAAGCTCAGGTCTGAGGATCTCAAGGAGATCGTTGCCACGATCTACAAATCGCCAATCTTTCTGGAGATGAGACAGAAGGCGATCGATGCTGGTTTGGACCTGGAACCGGTCAGAGTGTTCTTCAAGAAGGTGTTCGACTTCGAGTTCCCCAAAGTGCCTTAAATACGGGGTTCCGTTAAGATTTTCCTGCGATATTTGTACGAATAACACTGTATTAGACTGTTACGAAATTTCTATAAGCGATTTATTTTACTTATTATGAAATCAATTTTGTACTTTTTGTGATATGTAAAATTAAACATTCGGAATAAACATTTGTTGACGATACTTTTGTCGATTACTTCATCTCAGTGTGCCCTGAACATGAAAATTGTTCGATTAGTTTCAATCGATACAGAGTCATTTTAGAGACCAGGACAAGCTGTAACTTTTTTTAAAACGAATATACAATATCTATCCTTTGGTAATAATGATTTGAGGTCTTTCTGCTTACTAGGTGATTACTTGACTAATAGTTATAATTACTTTCATCAAAGTGTAATTGATTATTGCTCCACTCTGGCTACGTCTTAATTCGCGATTGCTATTATTTATTATCTCTTATTTATCTCCGAGCATAGCCAATAGTCCCGTTTCTTCTCTGGAGGATTCGCATTATTTGCCAAGTTCGTTGGAAAAACAAACTCGACTGTAAATTCAGCGTAGTAAACAATGTAGAGATTGGTGGACTGACAAGGGGAAGGGTGCGTTCCATATTGAGTGGAAAAGTTTAAAGATTGCAACGACGATTTCTCAGTCGCTTCTCAAAGCTGCCCCACTTTGTTCTCGATTCTCCTCTACTCTTCGCTCTTCATTCCTTTTTTTTCTGTTTTCTCACTCTACTTGCACCGCTACCTGTTCCAGTCTCTCGCTTCCACGATCTTTCCTTTACTCTTCCTGGCAACCCCTCTCCACCTTTCCATCGTCGTCACCCTTATCCCTCGTTACTCACCCTCGACGATTTTTCTTGTCCTCCTCTCGAACATTTCTCACTGGGATTTTCCGTTTCGCTCGATCATTCGCCTTACGTTTATCGATGTTCTTGGATCCTTGTTCCGCGTCTTGTCTCCCTCCCCCCTCTCCACCACGCCCTTGTACCACGCGTTTCTTATGACTTTCCATTACGACGCGCCAATAGTGAGTTCCGAGGCTTATTAAATTGTAACAATTTTAATTAGAACAGCGCCCTGACTCGTCTTCTTCCTTTTTCCCCCTCAGTTCGCCGGCACGGGCAGACTCATCCCCGCAGCTACGAAGACGCGTCGGTTAAGACAACCCCTTACTTTCCTTTTAAAAGTTAGCGCCACGTGCTCGAACGCCGTCCTCTTTTATTTATCGAACAGCTACGAGTACTTCGGGCCATTCGGTGCACGCGGTGCCCTTTTGCTTTCTCGTTTCACCGGCGAAACTTTCGGCGCGTTAACGAAGCGCCGTTGCCGATAGGGGTTGAAACTGATCAGCCTTCGCGAAGCAAAAGGAATTTGAAGAATGGCGCGTTGATAATAAGTTCGAGACTGTTAGAAGAATTTAATATTTCAATATTTTATATCTATTCGAATACTACGAATACAATTATTTCGTGCATCTGTAGATTAGTCGCACCTTTATACAGTATCGATAATTTTTGACAGAATTTATCGACTTTGTATCGATAATTTTCGATAGACTTTATCGATAAGTTATCGATGATTTTTTACATAATATCCCACCCAATGTATTTTTTCAGCCCATTTTCGTGTCACTCGCAACGTTACGAACAGATATAGAAATAAACACAAGAGGAAGTGAGACAGAAAATGAAATTACAGAAATTTTAGTATTTTTTAACGGAATGAAAGCTGTACGGTCCAGAATTGAGCATCAATCGATTAAGATTATTTAAAGATTTCAAGATTATTAAAATACGTAAGGAGGTACCTCATTGATATGTACACTGCAAATCCCCTATATTTCATTTTAAATTGTGATAAATCATGTATTTAAAAAATAACTCGAAGAACGTATGTGAAACTATAAGAAGAACGCAGCCATTAGCTCATATTATTTGCTATGTAATTAATAATTATATTAATTACATAGTAAATAATAATCCCCAGGTCTCACCGGGTGGAGGTTGCTGCGTAAGGAGACCCACCCTATGAGAAATGAGCTACAAAGGGATGAAAAACCTAACAAAATGTTGATACATGATACAATTGAATTTGTTAACATTATTCACTTCGATGATTCCATGCAAATTATTTACAGCTTTAACTGGTCAAAGAATCGCGAATAATTCGTACATCTCAACATCTCAACTCATATGCATTTACACACAACTAGTCTGCTTGTTTATCATATACTAATTCAGTAAGTTTCTTAACTGAACCGCCATCCATGAGAAGAGGGCGCTGAAATCACCTCTCAATTTTTAGATCTGTATGACAGTGTGTCACAAAAGTTCATAAGGTGTAAGGTCTAGTTGTATACATTGTCAATAAATAAATATGTATGTTTAATATGCTTATGATATTAATGATTAAAGTAAAAATATGTGAAATGAAATATGATATATACATAATGAATTCTTCGAATAGGAAGTAACGAATTCTATCATTTTTGAGTTTCATACTCTAATTGTTACCGATACTTTAGATTAATCGCAATTTTTGTCGTTGTTATTCTTCTTTTGTGTATTATATTTCCTGAAAATAAAAAAGTTCTTGATTAGTACATTGTTTGTATTAGTGCCCCAAATGTCATTCAACCAAATGATAACGTTGTCATAAAGAACACTTCTGCCGGAAAGTCCTTCAAATTTCTCACGTGCGTACTATCTACATTCTATTATTGTCTTCGATAACTGTATCCAATTAAATACTGAGACTCAACTTAAGCTATTGGTTCAAAAAACATATGTTTTCTGACCAATCAAATTCGTACACGAAGTTAATTAAATTTCTTACGTAAAAGCAGAAGTCAGATAGCAGTCGATCTTAGTATGATTTATGGCCGTATCGCCTATGTTCCCCACTAGATGGCTATAGATCAACAATACTGTTTTCTATGTGGAGATTTTTCTTTGTTACAAATATTCACTATTCGATAACGAATCACGATTTTTCGAGTAACGATGCACCAACACTTTTGTATTCTTAGATGTAATATTAAGTACTGTCTGAAGGAAACATTATTGCAAAACGTATCAGTTTGGAATACCAATGGGTGACGGATAAAAGACGGGTCAAAAGAGACCCGGTATTCGTTTGGACGAGATTCATTGGTCGGTATTCAAAGCACAACCAATCCATCGAATTTTCCATTGTCTTATAGAAGCGACGTTCATAGAACACCGATTATCCGTATAGTAATTACGCAAAGATGTAATCAGAAATCCTTGTATTTTAGATAGGAATGTTCCGCTCGAACAATCGAACGGGAACGCTGTTACCGATTTATCGGGTTGAGTTCGATAAATGTCTTTCCACTTATTGCGATAATCCACGTTCTACTGTACCTACGTAGCATCTAGATATTCGAGTAAATGCGCAGTTCTCGCATTATCAATCGGTACTTTAAAAGAGATATCTTTTCCTTTGCTCGAAAACACTCGCCTCGAAGCATAATTCTGCGAAATAAATAAATTTCTAATCACCTGTAGCAGCGATCGATTCACTTCGATTTGTAGTTTTGAAAGTTTTACGAGCAATTTTTTTTTCGATACGTACAGTAAAAATATTCGTAAATACTTCGAGGGATAATAATATTACATGCAGTGATTTCAGATCTTCCACATAGGAGGCGCCACTCGGATGTCTATCGTAGCACTCTCAAACCAGCGGCCACGCGAAGTACGAACAGATATCATTGTTACACGCCAAGTTTCGCAAAACTAATTGATAATAACGTATAGTACAGTTTAATAATTTTTTATTTCACCGTCGTAGCAAATAGTAATGTATAATTCTAGGGATATTCGGTAATGGTAAAGGAACAAAAATTTCCATCCGTTGGAATTTATTCCTTACGAGTTATTATAACGTTAGGCGCGGAAACGAAACGGGATTTCTACGTGACCAAGGATCGCGTGAGATATTCGTGGAATTCCTTAAATATATCGATCGCGAACGTGACCTCGAGACCAACCTCTGCGGCCCAAAAGAAATGATGATGGAGCACGCTGTTCCCCTCGAACTCGTTACACAATTCAACGAAATCCTTGGATCTGAGAAACTGCAAGAATCTGCGAAAGCTTCCGGAATACTTGTATTTCTGTCGCAGAAGCTCGTGCAGCTCGTCCAGCGGGATGGTTCGTAAGATTTTGTCGACCATCACGGTCAGACCGCCGGTGGCCAGGCTCGGGTTGTTCCTGATGAATCTGGGTGACGTCTTCCAGAAGCTTCGAAAGTTTTCGCGCCAGTGATCGACGTCCAGGCCGTTTCTTCGGAAGAAATTAATCGTACGGGTCATCTGCGGCATGTTCTGTAGCTCTCGAACGACGAATCTCTTCTGATCGTTGATGAAACTCACGGTGTCTCCGATCTGATTGTCGTACTTCATGTACCTGTCAATATGCAAGATGAAGTTGTACCAAAAAAAATTTAATTCAGGAGGTATTTTAACTTAAATTTTAACTTCTGATACGCACACAAATAAAAAAATATGAACGTAGGTGTCAGGGTAAGTAGAGACGCCTAAAAAAGAAATATTGTACCTGTCGATGATCTCCTTCACCTCTTCGTAAGGGACGAACGCTAGTATGTCTCTGAGATCTTCCTCCAGGGAGCTGTTGTCTTTCAGCGGCGGTTGATCCATGAAATCGATATCGTTGGACCGAAATCTGACTCGATAGACCAGGAATCCGACGAACGCCACGGAGGCTGTGGCCATCGCGCTCATGAGCATAATTTGCGAATTCATTGTTTCGGATCTCCCTTCCTCGGTATCAGTGCAACATCGTGCCGACTTGTCCGACGTGCTCTGTTAATTGTTAGCGATGGGAAAATGGATGATGAGTTTCAGTTGCCGGCGAAGGGACTCGTAATAAACGGGAAAGGGACTTAGCACGACGAAAGTTTGCGTACTTAAGTTGCAGGAGAGTGAAGGATGTCGCTTAAAGTAGCAAAGTAGATTCGTTGGGCCATCGTACGTTGATAAACATTTCCTTTGTGAGCTTTTACGTCATCTTTAACGAAGCACCCTGGAGCAGGTTGCAGCGGTCGAGGGAACTTTTCTTCGTCAAGGTTCAACCTCTGCGACGCGGCACAACGGGCTCGCGGACTTGTCACCGTCAGAAATTTAAATTTACTCGTATCTGGAGGGCTTGATGGTCCGGGCTAATATGAAATTTACTACGCAGGCGCCATGTTACATTTCTAGTTTTACAACGGACGCGAAGTCAACGTTGTATGATAGGTGTCCGTGGAAGCTCTGCTACGTTCATAATTGTCACGAAACAAAAACAGAAGAGTTAATATAAATGAAATTTGTGCAAAAACAGAGATTAACGGATACAATTGTAAAAAACGCTCTGGTAATTTGTCTCGTGGGTAAAAATAAAGCATTACAAGCTATTCTCTCAGAGACCAATGGAGATCTCGATTTTTCTTATTAAGCATTCGAAATACATTTTCATCAATAAACTATCACCTTGGTTTACTCTTCATTTGTTACCACATACGTTACAGATTAGAAATACTATTGTGTCATTCGCTTGAAAGACATTTCTCACGTATGTATTTACTTGGCGATACGCGACGTCACTTGAAAGATTGCGATTACTTATTACGAGAGATGCGATTTTCTTCGATCTGATTACGTTTTTCACAGATACACGTAACGAAAACATCACTGATTGCAACACCGTACTTCAGTATAGATAAGAAATATGTTTGTATACATTGTACTACCGAAAATCGATCAACTATATGTTTGCAAAACTCTCATTACTGTGATACTGTCGACAAATGGTTAACATACTTGATTTCGCAACAAATAGTCCTGAATTATGAAATATAGAAATATTATCAAAATTTATTATTGTCCATTAAATATTCTTTGAAAACGCTTCTCTTTTCTTTTTGTTGTTTCTTGTTATTTATCCATTCTATTAAAAAATTTATTGCATTCGCTGGGGTTCATCAAATGGACGTATTTTCATTTCTGCTATATCTTACATCTTCTATCTAAATTCAATCTGAAGGTAGAAAATGTGGAATGTAACTTCTGCATGCAAATTTTTACATTTATCAATTATCCCTACGAGATAAGATCCACTTCGAAGCACAAGCTATTACATTCTGCTATTAGATAAGATAGAATAGTTACATCAAAATTCGTATCAGATAACTTCCTGAGTACTCAAATGTACATACTTGCAAACTGTGACAAGAAAAAGACAACAAAGAGACGTGCCGATAGTGATTAAATTGCTGGGATTTAAAAAAAGGAGACTAAATGTTTACTTCCAGTTTTAAAAGTTGCTGTCACATTTGGAAAAAGATGAGGCAACATTAAATAGGCGATGACAATCGTTTCAGATGCATACTATGCATAATATTTATTAAAACATGTTTTTACAATTAAAAGATAACACCCAATTTCGAAAAAAAATTACAAAGTTACAAATGAAACTGTGGAATGATTATTTATTGTTTAAGGAAGAGTCTGGCAGAGATGTAAACAAAGTAATATGCCTGTACAGTCTCGCCATCCAAACCAACCTTGACAGCTTCCGCTACGACGTCTAACAAGTGCTCGTTCGACGGAATGCTAGAGTAGAATTTAACGTACTTCTCATTTGTTATTTCCTCGATGAAGCTGGCGAACACTTTTGAGCTCTGTCTTTTAGATTCGTACAAGGATTGCATCTTTTCAATGGGTATTACGGCCCCAACATCTACAAGCAAACCCCGAAGTCCACCGGTAATCTTGATGTAGGCATCTTGAGGAGCAAGAGACTGGATGTGGAGGGCCAATTGGATTTTCTTCATGATCAGCTTGATGTCAAGACCAGCTTTCTGCACGTACTCTACCAATTCCTTCATCTCGGAAGCAGCCGCGATGTCTTTGAGAAACAGTTTTGTATCCTGAGAGTCCACGAGTTTTATCATTTCCTTGAATTCCTTGTCTTGCGCTGCGTACGCCCTGAGGATCTTTAGAACCTTCTGCTGTGGCACCAAGTTCAAGAAAGCCTGAACGTCCCTAGCAAGAGCACCTGAGCCTGTGCTAGGTACTTTGAGAGCATACAGGGGACTGGCCAAAGCCAGGGCGGCCAACACTACCAAAGCGAATTTCATCATCTGCAATCAGAAAATGACAAACAATGAAAAAGAATGTCGAGGAAAATGTAACGCTTAGCAGTACTGACGCTATTCGGTAACAATAGCTTTCGTCAACTATTTGACTGACAAGAGCAACAGCACATTTTGTGAAGGTAAATTCAAGTTACTTGTTTCACAAATTCATAATGACGAACGAAGAGAATGATACATTTATGAAACAATTTATGATCGATTAGTTACAGTCTAGTCGATATAGTTACGAGCTACTGTAAATAAATTGTTAGCCTTACCTTGCAAGTTCTGAGAGCTTTCAGGACCGTTAGTAGACGAATACTGATGCCTAGCTTCGTTTTCACCGCGCGTTATATACTGAAAATTATCAGAATTCGAAGATACAAAATTACAACACGCCATCAATTGACACTCTTGTAAATTGTTGAAGAACTTCCCGTGTTGCACAATAATTACACAAACGATGAAGTAATAAGACGGACTAGATAAAGTGTACATACACAATACACAAACCATTATCATCGCTTCGAGCAATTAACAAAACAGGAAATGCGATTATGTCACGTCTGTTTGAATTTTAACGCTGTTGTGGAATGTTGAATTATATGGTCCATGCATAGCCCATTAATTTTTTGTATCGCATTAAAGTGTGATATATTGGTGAAAGAAATGCTTTCGATCGTCGTAATATTCTTTGACTCTTTATTTAACTCTAGACATACAGAACCCGTAAGTTTCAGGTTCCATACTTAAAATTAGAGAACTCGTAAGTATTATTGATTGGCAATTTATGTTGAACTCAAATATGGAAGCAAAACATTGATATGATTCACTATAAAGTATAATATTACGGAAATAAGTACACTTTCTTAAAAAAAAGAAGTATTTTTTCACTTACTGATAAACTAGATGTTGTGACATGCGTGACAAGGTGAGTAATATATTATCAGTACAATTCCACGTAATTATTTCGTTTTTATCAATTAATTTATGTGAATTTAAAATTCGAAGTATATTTAAAATATAGTGAAATAATCATGTCAAGTAATATACTAATTTCGTAGTCTTTATAAAACTATTCGACACATATTTCTTTAGTGGCTAGTAGTCTATTGTGAGGTACAGCCTCTAAATTTAAGGGTGGCAAACTTTAGTGCAATAATACGGAAAGTATTGGACGTGGAATAAAATTTTATATCTAATGATTGCAATAATAACTAACATTTACCTTACAGTGATTTCGTGAACATTTTATCCACGTAACATTCTACAGAAAAGAATGGAAGAACGATCTGAGATGAAAATTACTGGCAAATGTAATGGGATGTCTCCCAAGCTTTAATTTAATTAAATATTTTTATATAGGGTACAATTTACAATTCAATAATGTTATTATACGAAGGAACTATTATAATTTTAAATTGGTTTAATCTTTTAAATTTTTTTTTCGTGCCTACCAAATACATAATGTTTAAATTTGACATAATTTGATTTAGTTTGCCTATCACCTGGGAATATTTTACGTATTCCTATTTATTTTTACGTAATCCATGAATATGTTTTATTGTTCTTAAATACAACCAGCCGCGATTTTTAAAAGAATATCATGGCAAAATGAGGAAATAGTGATAAGTGAATGTAAGATCAAAATACCAGTAAATGACGAAATTTTCTTTCTTAATTTTTATAAATAACTCGTCATCTTTTATAAGTAATCCGTTACGTTATTATTAATAATTTAATATAAACTTTCAAACAACATAAGTATTTCTTTTGCAATACATATTTTGTAATTTTTCACAATTGTAATAATACTTTTCAATTTACTGAATTCATTTTATCTTCGTTAAAATTTGTCACGATATTGATTGTTAAGGGTGGATGTATCGAGGAGAAAACAGAGAAAGAAAATATTCAATGCTCAATTACATATTTATTATATTTATTATTAATACAACAAACACATTACACCTGAGAATATCAACAATTATCATTTAACAAAAAGTCCACACAGTTGAACTTTAATGAAGAAAAGGAGCGGCCAGAAGGAAGTAAAAGTAATATCCCTCGAAAATGGCACTATCGATACCAGCTTCGTCAGCTTGCTGCACCATATTTGTCGTGTGTTCGTTCGACAGCATGTAGTCGTAGAGTTTGAAATATTTCGAAGAGAGTACTTCGTTCACGTAATTGGCAACTACTGGAGAATTCTGTCTTTTGTCTTCCAACAATTCCTCCATCTTTTTGAGTGGCAATATGTCGGCCAAATCTTTAATGAATCCTTTAAGTCCACCAGTCCTCTTACGGAACAGTGAGAAAGGAACGACAGGCTCGAGGTCGAGGGATTCGTTTAGAACATTCATTAAGTAGAAGATATCAATGCCAGCATCCTGGATGTACTGCATCAGTTCGTTAAATTTGGAATTTAGTTCCAGCTCTCTGATGTACTCTTTCGATTCCTCGCCCTTCGCGATCCTCATGGCCGTCTGGAATTCTTTGTCCCAGGTGTAGTACACTCTAATGAGGTGTAAAACCTTCCTGTCTGGCACCAGGTCCAGAAGGTCCTGTAATTCTGCCGCGAGAGCACCCGATCCTGAGCTCGGTATTTTAAAGGCGTAGAGTGGACTGGCCACGGCCAGAACGACCAACAACGACAAAGCGAATTTCATCTGGAAATAAATTCAGTGTCAATGAATAAGGAGAACGAATAGAAATAAGAACATAATAATCAAACAGAAACAATTGTTAGCCTTTATAAATTCACTAATTGAAACAAGTATCTGCATGTATTCTTTGCTAAACAAGCAGTTTATATTTCAAGTTATTATTCCGAAATAGAATCGCTCAAACGATCAATTTATATTACAACAAAGTTCTGTTCGAAACGTATCTGTGTGAATACTTCTTAAGATGGTTCGATACTCACCTTGCAAATTATGGAGGTTTCTGCAGCGTTATTCGAATGACAACTGATGCCGACATACTGTTCCGTTTCACATACATATATTGTGCGGTTTTCAATTTGATCGACGCGATAAGATTATTAAGACGTATCGATATAAAATTTTATCACGCCTGCAACACTCTTGTATTATGTACCGTACGACTGCGCAGAATGGGAAATTGATATTCATCACGTCACGTATCTCATCGTCACTTAACACTTGATTTTGAACTATGATCTTGATTGAATTACGTAGAAAAGAAAAATTTTATCGACTCGTCATTTAATTCTGCGCAGTTTGTGGATTTGTTATACCACCCTTGAATCAACAATAGTTCGTCATGGTTTGTCATCGAAACTCAAGACGAGATAAGAAAATTTATAAAATAAGGTCCAATTATTTGATTACTCAAGACACCACACCAGAGCATAAAATTTCCTACAGATTCATAACATTTAAGTTTTTATAAAAGTTCTGCACGCAAGTGAAACATGTGTATAAAAAAAAGTATTCCATATTAGGGCAGCTGACCCTACCTATGTATACGCGTTCGTATAATCATCTTCGAAAAAGGAGGATGTAGCGAAAGGATAAATACATTGTACGAAATATACAGTGCTCGATTCAATATTTATTATATTATATATAATTAAAATTTAACAAACATCTTATTACATTCTGCCCATAAGGATAGGTACACCCGAAAGAAAGAAAAGATAGTAAGTGTCGAAAATGAAGCCATCGATGCCCTCCTTTTCAGCTTCCTCGATCAGATTCATCTTGTGTTCGTTCGTCATTATGGATTTAAAGAACTGAACATTTTTCGGTGATACTATTTGCTCGATAAAGTTATTAAACACCTCGGAGGTTTTTCTTTTGTTATCGACCATCGTCGTGAGTTCGTCAATAGGCATTAAGTTACTAATGTCTTTAATGAAGCCTTTAATCCCACCGGTAATCTTGCCATGGAAGACGAAAGGGATAAAGGGCTCGAGATTAAGGGATTTGTTTAGAATGTCCAGCAGCGAGTGAATGTCCAGTCCAGCGTTCTGGATGTAGTTCATCAGGTCTTTGAATTCAGGAGCAGCCTCGATAGCTCTGACATACTGTTTCGATTCCTCGGACATTACGAGCCCCATGGTCGTCTGAAATTCTTTGTCCTGGGCTTGGTATGCTTTAGCGAGCTCTATTATCTTACTCAGTGGTATCAGGTCCAAAATGTCCTGAAATTCCTTGGCGAGAGCACCTGAACCTGTGCTAGGTAACTTGTAGGCGTACAGAGGACTGGCAACGGCCAGAGCCATTAATACTGTCAAAGCGAATTTCATCTGCAAAGTTAGGTGAAATTTTAACTATATTCTATTGTTCGTATATGACAGTTTTTTTTTTTGTGGTATGGCTTCATATAACATGGAACCAATTAACTGTGTTATCGAGTCACCTTCGAGTAATTTATTGGAAAAGTCATTATTTTGGAATAGAATCAATGAAACGATGCGTATATTTTACTATAATACAAAGTTTGAGATGTCTCGGCACTTACCTTGCAAATTCTAAACGACTTTTCTTCGTTACTTGAGAAGTGTGTCAAATTAAAAATTTACTCAATAACGTAATTCGGGAGTATCGATATGGATTTGAGCTACATCAGGCATACTTCTTATATATATTGTTGAAAAATGCGGGGAGGGGAGACTCAATTGTTTTTATGCCACACGATCATCGCCACGCCACCAAATCAATGTACAATGCGATAACGTCACTTGTCACGATCGTTTGAATATGAACATTGAACCAGATAAAGCATCGACATTTTCTAACGATTGCCGAATAATACAAATTTTACACACTATCGATATCGAGTACCAATCTTCTTCGTCGTAGAAAGCGATTGCAAACGCTCGAGGGATAAATTATTTGCGATCGGATGCCGTGATTAAAAATATTGAAATTAATCCGAACGGATAAAAAAACCATAGGCTGCCGGGAGGAGTAATAATTTTTGCCAAATGCCGCGGAGTACGCGCGTACGGAATTAATTCGCGAGCCATGCGACAGCGACAGGTCGTAGTAAGAGGAAGCTGCTGATGGAGAAACAGGGCTCGGGAGCGGCGCTAGGGTTCGCCGTGTCTGCGGCAAACAATTCCAATTAACTTGCTGGAATTGGAATAGGACTTCGCGTCGACGGTCTCTCGACTGGCGCCTCCTGCGTGCCCCGAACGCGTCGACGACGCCGAGGGGGACGCGCCGCGCGCCCCGGCGTTCCTTCTGTCTTTTCGCGGTTCTTCGCGAACAAATTAGCCGGGCGGACTCGCGGCAAAATTAGCTGTCCGTCTCGCGGCCCGAAGGAACTTCGCGGGCACGAGACAGAGGACAATGGAGTCGCCGGCCGGAAGGACCGAAAAAGTTAGCCGATCTTTCCCCGCCCGTCGGCCGGGTATTTACATTTCAATCGAAAGCCCTCGCGTTCTCGACGGCGCAATTTTCGAAAAACTCTCCTCTGACCGCGCGCCCGTGTCTCCCCGTACCGCTGAAAGACGGAAGTTCTCTCCCCGTGCCGAGGGGAGACATAATTCAATCAGGATCCACCGGGGGTGTTTGTCAAGTACGGTTTCTTTGCACGTGTACCGGCGAAGTGAATGGCGACCCGTTGGACCATTATCCGCGGCATAATGCTCGTCATCGTAGTCGTTGTCGGGGCTGGTCGGAGAGAAAGATAGACAGAGGCAGAGCGACCGGGACGGAGTCATAAAGCTCGAGGTTGGGCCGCCGCCCTAGACAATGCGGTCCTTGAGCTGCTCAGATATTGAAGACGCCCGAAAGCGGTGTGTACCAATCCCGGTGTGTACCCAGCGTCTAGCCCGCTACTCTACATTATTAAATGTCGCTGCTCGCCCGGTGGACTAACCACGCAACGCGATCACGTTCCCCGAGCGTTTTTTTCTTAGCGCGCGCGTTTTCCGCAGGAGAAAAACGCGGGACGGCCGTGAGTGGACTCTCCTCGCGTTATCGTCTGCCCGCGAAGTCACGTCCCCGGATAACAATACCGCCGTCCCGACGAACGGAAAAATTTCTAAGGGTACCGCGACAACCAGGTGGTATTGTTACTGATAAGCCCCAGATACACGACAAAATGGAGTACGAGCATACGACACGTCCCGAGAGCATCCTATTGAACTTTGTTTCTCTAGTTTCTGGAACATTTTTGCGATTCTTTCGACTCTCAACAGGTGTGACGAGTGGGAACGTTCTACGAAGACATTTCTAATGAAATAAATCCCTGTATTCTGGTGGCCTTGTCAGACGTTTCTTGGTAATCGAGGAATTGTTGCCTAATTTTGAAACTGAAAGATATAAAAAATACTCTACACACTTTGGCAGCCCGAGTTTCGTTATTAATTGGACCAGAAATATTTTATTACTATATTATTTATTATTATTAAATGCATCTCGTTGAAACACAAATTTTATTTGTTCTTAAAAGTATACTTTGATGTGAAGATTCTAAACCTGCCACAATGTAAATAGTTAAGTTTGACTTATAATTTGAGTACCTATATTATTTATAAAAAGTACGGTAAATTTATTGTACTACATAACATAATTTGTGGTAATTGAAAGTTTTGAAAATGATTTCGAAACGTTCGATTCCACCACCATTCTCACTCGCGTTTCATAAGATCATCTACATGGTAGGTGTACATAGTACTTACAGATACAGTAATCATTTGATACTGTGTACTTATTCTCAAGGCTAAATTTTTTCACAGCATTCCGCAACATTGTTGTATTAGTCACATCGACGTTCGAGTTTGCGAAAAATGCTTAACGACGTGCCATGGAGCAAAGTATCTTAATGGCACGTTTGATAAAAGTGTATGATCTTGATTATTATTTTTAAAGAGTTCGTAGTAATCACTTTTGATATTAGTATTGAGAAATTCGAATTAAATTTTTATCGTAACAGACACGTGTTATAATAATGCTCAATTATTTCAATTACTTAGGCAACACGTTAGAACAATACATTCGAGAAATTGTAATTCAATTTAACTCGTCTGTTCTTTGATGCAAAAAATGAAGTAAATGTTTGCAACCTGAAAGACCAAAGTGTATAAGAATTTATAATAAAAATATTTACCAAACGATTTTGATCTTCTTCGTTATTATACATCGAAATAATGAGCTCAAATCAGATGTTTAGTAAATTTTCGTGCGTTTTTAACGATGCTGCGGACACTGGAGCTCGAGAAACCATTACGCGCTGAATTTACGCCCCAGAGTATAATAAATTGCCGAGGGCGTATAAAATTAATTTTATTTCAAGTCTCGACCAAGGATTAATCTTTTAGAAACATTGTCCTCCGTACAGGAGCGACTCGCGGCGTTAATTAACGGAATCTCGATGCCGGGTACACAGTAAAAATAATTCACCCGCCGCCCGGCCGTTAGCCGACGCTCGTCTTAAGCTGCAATAAGGACTCCAATTAGCTGCGGGAACAACATACTCCGTCTCCCATTTACGACGGCATAATGCTACCTGTTTCACGCGAAGCCGCGTATAATTACAGACTAATGCTCTCGAGCGTCCGCAATCGTGGCAGGTGGCACATAATCGCGGCCTCGTAACCCTCGAATGAGTTAATCCGTGAGACGTCGTGGCGTTTCCCGCGACGCCTGCAGCCGACGGGCCGGGTTCCGTCGTCGTCGGAAGTTGTCGTCGACGGCGGGTGAAATCGTCGGGCACAAGGCGACATTTAAAAGTAGCTACGGCCGGGGCTGATCCGCTTACCGGGTTTAACCCGAGAAAGACTAAAGGGGGAGGGCTAGTTAAGCCCAACAGTCAGAAAATCTGTAAAATATGCTGTTTCTCCCACGTAAAATGTTTGTAAAATATTATGCTTACTTCGCTGTAAATGCATTCAAAAATCAGAGTAACATTGCATCGATGAGTTATGCGTCTTTGGTGTGGCTTGGGTGGACAACAAAGCAAACAAATGAATAATGTAAACTGGAGAAGCGCGGTGCAGAAGAATAAAATATATTTTATCGACAGCATTTAAGAACTATAATATGCGATGATTACAACGAATTTTAAGTAAATCGAAATACGTATACGATAAGACTAAATGTGCTTCAATTTTATACAGTATCGTTCTACAAAACCTATTCTATGTAAATGTGAGTTACTAATCAAGCACGTTATTATGTTCTTTCTCGTTCACACGAAACTATCATTCTGCAAATTGTTTTTCAAGATCGCGATCCGAAGATAATTATGGGCAACGTAAGAGCCTCCGCCCTCCCCAGTCTTTAACACGATAGCTCGTGATACGGTCTTTCGAGGATTTTAAGAGTCCAGTGCGAAGTGCTCGATTTATTCCACCTAGCCGGATGGGAGGGAGAAGGTGGTCGTTGGACGAAATCGGTCGTAGATAGTTTTTACGCAAACGATAGTAAAAAGATAGAGAGGTCTCTTTTTCTAGCGTCCCTGATCGTCGTCCCGACTGCTTCGCTCAACGGCTCATTTTATTCCGTGCCGTGAAAAGTATCGTTTGTCTCGTATGGAACTCCTCCATCTGTATCCGCTTCTTTTCGTGCTCGTCGTTCTCGTTCCTGGTTTCCGTGTTTTCATTTTCTGCCTCTTCCAAGATTGAAGGGTCGACGAAGTGGAAACAAGGGGCGACTGTGTGCTTCTTTCTTTCTTTTTTTTTTTTTGTACGTCGGTCGAGTGGCACCGTTTACGGGGTTAGGTACAGAGAAGGTACGTTTCGTGCATATTATTGTGAAAAACGACTGTCGTTGCGATAAGCTGCATGCAAAATCGTCTCTCGGGCACACTCGTTGCGTAAATCTTGCGTGCGTGCTGTACTTAGCAACGTAAACGGAACCGTATAAAGTGATATCCATATTCCGCTTGCAGTGTCGATACTTTATTCCAAATTCTTTGCTTTACTTTTTATTATCGCCACTACGATTCTAGACTTCTGCGTTTTCCTTTGGAAGATCGACTGATTTTTTATTTATATCGTTTAGTGCAGAATAGTACTTTGGTTCTTAATTTCGAATTTATTCACTTATTTATAGAAATACATGTAGAATTCACTCAAGAATTCAGTTGCAATATTAAAATCGACACTGCGTTAGGAATAATTCTTTTAAAATTATTATTCGTGCTAATAGCAAAATTATACAAAATCCTATTGACTTAAACAAACTACCACTTTATGTTTGACCTGAATGTTAATTAAACAGAATTTCTTGCACTTTTTTCAAACAATTTTAAGAATCAATAATTTCGCTTGATTTAATAAAACAAGTTTTGCTCGAAAGTTCGAATAAAATTTCGTATTATTCATTATAATACTTCAAGAAACAAATTTTATTCATTTCCTTAACATATCGACTCTAAATACCGTGCACACCTTAAAATCCTTTCGATTCAAGAGACAAATAACCAGCTTAGTTGATGAACAAAATTAATTCGCTCGGATAATAAGATTTAAGTATTAAAATTCCAACGTTGGACAAATAAGATGTCGCGTATTGTCCATTAATCGAGAACAACATGGCGAAATT